AGTACCTGGGTATCACATACAGTTAATGCACTTGGCTACTACCCAAAAGGTTAGAGGTTTGAGTCTACCCAGCGGCACCCTGGAAGAAAAGCCTGGTTGGTAATCTATTTCTGAAAAAGCAGCATTGAAAACCCAATGGAGTACAGTTCTACTCTGACATAAATGTGGTCACCATGAGTCAGTGCAGTGATTTTAGCTTCGTGGTGGCCTTGTTGCCAGAGCTATTTGCCTTCAGGGACCCTGACTCCCTCAGCAGAGCCAGTTTTTGTGCCTTCACCTATCATTTTACATTTTACAAGACACTACAGCTGGGCAACCAACATACAAAGCTCCCCACCTCCCACCATTCTGAAATACTTGGGCGGAAAGAAGAATACTTGGGCGAAGAACGGAAAGAAGGGGAGGCTCTGGCTCTTTCTCCATCTGTAACACCACTGCCCTAGTCTAACCATCTTCCCAACCACTCTGGACAACTCCAACTGCCTCCTCAGTGGTCTCCTTGCTTTTTGTCTTGCCCACCCACCCCTTTCCTTTCCTACAAGCCACTTCCCACCCAGCTCTGCAATTAGAACACAATCCAAATCCTACCATGGCCTCCATAAACCAAAACTCACCTCCACGAGTCAATTCTGACTCATAATGATCCCCTTCGGGTTTCTGAGGCAGTAAATCTTTACAGAAGTAGATTGTTTAGTCTGTCTTCTGCAGAGTGGCTGATGGGTTTGAATTGCCAACCTTCTTGTTAGCAGTCAAACACCTTAGGCACTATGTCACCAGAGCTCCTAATGGTAGTCTGTATAAAGTATAAACAGCCCATGGCTGCTCATGCAAGCTCAGCCACCAACACTCCCCACCACTCACTCACAACTCCAGCCATGCTTCTGGAAAACACACTCAGCCCTGCACTGGAACTTTTGCAGTTGCTATTTCTCCTAATTAGACAACATGAAGGCAGTGGTGGTTCAGTGGTAGAACTTTAGCCTTGCATGTGGAAGACCTGAGTTCAATTCCTGGCCAATGCATCTCATGCACAGCCATACTCTGTCAGTAGAGGCTTGTGTGTTTCTGTGATGCTGGACAGGTTTCAGCAGCGCTTCCACACTAAGACAGACTAGGAAGCCTGGAGATCTACTTCTGAAAATCAGCCAATGAAAACCCTATGGATCACAATGGTCTAATCCACAATCGATCATGGGAATGGCACAGGACAGGGCAGTATTTTGTTCCATTGTGATGGAGTCGTCATGAGTCGGAGGCTGTAGCTAATAACAACTGCTCAGTCAGCCAACTACCCAATAATGTCAGCAAGGAGCTTTTTTCTGTCAGCCAAGTCCAAGCTGTTCAGAGAGGCCTTTCTGGAACACTCAAGCTAACGGAGTTCCATGCCAGTGAGCAGTTGGACCTGTGGGCTTGGGACCATGGTTGCAGGGAACATCAAACTCAACTGGCATGATACACTTCACAAAAACACTGTTCTACATCCTACTTGGTGCATAGTGACTGGGATCTTAAAAGCCTGCAAGTGGCCACTAAGATGAAATACTGGGTATCTCCTTGTTCAGAGTAAAGGAGAATGAAAAAAAGCAAAAATTCATGGAAACAATCAGTGCAAGGGACTAGTAAACCATGTGATCCTCAGCCTATATAACCATGAGACCAGAAGAACTAGATGGTGCCCAACTACCACTGTCAATCACTCAAAGGGAGATGGGTGCAAGAGACCCTGGACAGACTGGAAGAACAATGTAGACCAAAACCTAAAAACATGAAAAAAAAAAGGACCAGGTTTGCTGGTCTGATAGAGCCTGGTGAGAAGCCTAAGACCATGGCCCCTAGCTAACCTTCAGGTCTAGAACAGAACTCACTCCTGTGGTTTCCAGCCAAACAACAGACAGGCATATGGGGTGAACATTTACATCAGGAAGATACACTACTTGGAGGGATCAATCACCGGAGAATTGAAGGGCAGTGTTTGCACAGGGAGACAGCTGGGGGTTGGGGTGGGGGGTAGTGCATGTGAGGGAAGGACACAGGAAAGAGGTAAACTACAGGGAGGAACTGGGAAGAGAGCTGTTAACATTGTGAGCAACTGCAGGTCAATGTCATGAGACAAAATGTGTATGTGAACTGCTGTATGGAAAATGAATTTGCTTTGTAAACTTTCACCCAAATCACAATAAAAATAAAGTAGCTCCATGCCTACTTCTCTTAGTGCATCTCCAGAGCCATTCTCTGCCCCTTCACCTTCCTCTGCACCCTGGAAGACTGACCCACCTACGGGCCATAATGCTCTGTTTCCTGGCTGCTAGCTGGGCTCTGCCAATGAGATCCAAGACTGGAAAGTCACTTGTGCATGTCTTGACAGCCCTTGTTGATTCCCTCAATTCTGCCCCAATTAACCAGCGCTTCATTCAAACCTCCTGAACCATCAGCATTCACTGTCATGACCTGACTGCCACAACCCAGGCTGCCCCCACACACGCAACCTTGATCACTCTTTATCTTATCACCCTGTTCTATTTTCTCATTGCACTTATCACGGTCTGAAATTACCAGTTCATCTTTCAAAAAGTTAGTTTTTTGTTATCTATCTCCTCGACCACTAAAACATAAGCCCCATGAAAGCAGAAAGCTCATCGTGTTTACCACTGTATCTCAAGGGCCTAAGACAGTGCCTGGACTGTAGTTGGTATTGCTGCTCATTGCCATTGAGTCAGCCTGGACTCATGGTGACCCCATGCACAACGGAACGAAATGCTGCCTAGTCCTGTGCTGTCCTCATGTTGCAGATCAGACCACTGTGCTCTGTAGGGTTTTCACTGGATGATTTTCAGAAGTAGATCATCATGCCTTTCTTCTCAGTTCAATATCGTAGCAACGCATGAGCCTTCACTGACAAATAGGTGTCAGGCCTTCACTGACACATGAGGTGCATTGGCCGGGAATCAAAACTTGGTCTGTATGCAAGATGAGAATTCTATCACTGAACTACCACTGTCCCCTGAAACACGGTAAACATTCAATGTATAGCAAATGAATGTATGCTAACCTATAGTCGCTGCTCAAAATATCACCTTATTAGTAAGACCCTCCCCAATAACCTTATGTAAAACAGATATCCCTCTCCACACCTCCACTCCCTCCTCCTCCTAAGCCATATTTTTTCCCATAGCCAGTATCATCTGATGTATTTAATATTTGTTTATTGTCCATTTCCCCCAATAATTATGTCTAAAAACAGGGATGATATTTTATTCACTCCTATACCCGAGAGCCCTGGTGGCGTAGTGCCTAAGGCATTTGATGCCTAAGGCATTTGACTGCTAACCAGAAGGCTGATGGTTCAAATCCACCAGCCACTCCTCGGAATGAAGGTTGAGCAATCTACTTCTGTAATGATACTGCCTTGGAAACCTAAGGAGGGGTCGCTATGAGTTGGGTCCCACTCGACAGCAGTGAGTTTAGTTTTTTGGTTATACCCTCAGAGCCTAGAACAATACCCAACTCAGAGTAAAGTCTCTATAAACATTTGTTAAATGAATAATTGGCACAATGGGCAGATTTTCATACAAAGCAATTTCAGGAGTGTCCTCAACTCTTACTGGGAAAAATTAAGCACTGTGCATTGCTATAAACACCCAAGGGAAAAAGTTAATTCTTACAGGACCTGGCCTTGGTCAATTGGAAAGACAGTCTAAGACCCTAGGAGAGAGACTCAACATGCTGGCTGGGCCTGAGCCCAAGAAGAGAAGAAAAGGCTTTAAAGTAAGATGATTAAGACCCTGTGCTCCTGACATACTCTAGAAAGCATGCACAAATGCTCACTTAGGCACACAGTCATTGTAAATTCCTCCTGAAAGTAAATGGGCATATAAATAAAAGGGACTTAAGTACACCACTTTCTATTCCACAGTGTGTTTCTCTCGGCAGCCACCTTCAACTATAGTTCATTGACCGTATATATAAACCCAGAACCAACCACTGAAAGCATTGCTTATTTTTTTTTCTTTGCTTTATTTTTTTTTATTTTTGACAACTGCTCTCCTAATGGGGCATCTCCCAAAGACAGGTTTCATTCTCCAACATCTCCACTGTCCAAATTTTATTTTGCACAGTAGTTGCAGATCTGAAATAAATTCCTCCTCCTTACCAACATAACTGATTACTCATACCTGCCCCCTCATCCTCCAAAGTGTCTACCTTGTATGGATATTTGGGGAAAAAAAAATCAACTCCCAACATACTGAGTGTTCTCCATGGTGGTAAATCACTCCTTCGAGGGTCAAGATCCATGACTAAATATCCTGAAAGCCTGGAAAACGGGCCCCCCTTCACCACAACACCATTCGCCCAAAACTGGCCAACCACAGGATAATGAGCAATCACCGTTCTTCACCCAAACATTTGCTTTTCTTCCAATAGTGCAGATTGGGAATGCAGAGCCGTCCTATTTATGAGCAGTGAGTCACTCGGCACTCAACGTCTGTTTCCTCATCCCTATGAATGAGGTGACCCCTCCTCTAAGAGTAAACAAATGCAAGGCGATGGTTAAAAGCTGGGCTCACAGGAAATAAATGCAGGGTGGTGGGTCAGTGCTCCCGCTGCCATCCCTGTGCTAATTCATTCCCTGATCCTCTATTACTTTGGACCCTCTCTCAGTAAACAGCATAAACACACAGGAGGGGCAGGGGAGTCTCAAGGAGGCGGTTACAAGCCCAGGTCAAAGACGAAAATAGGAAAACGCCTCTCGCCAGGTGACGCATACGGCCGGTAGGCGCTCCGGGCTCGGAGACCCTAAGACCAGCCCACGCTAGAGCCAGGAAAAGAGGGGGCGGCGAAGGGCGGCCTGGGGGAGCGCCGCGTCCTCGGGAGCCGCCCCTTGACCTCGCGGCAGTGGCCAGGGCTACAGATGCTGCCCCGGTCCGGCACCTCACGCCGCCGCCGCCGCCTCCAGGCAAACACTTGTTGCTCCCTGCCCAGACCGCCCGCCTGGCCCTCACCCGGTACAGGCCGTCCGCGAACACGCGCGGGTCCAGGTGGCAGGCGATGGTGGCGCTGGGTAGGTCCTGCAGGTCCACCTCCTCCATCTCGCAGTCGATGAAGCTCCAGTCGCCGCTGTCCTCGTCGGCCTCAGCCGCTCCTGGGAACGGCGCAAAGGGCCGCACCGTCACCCCGGGCCGCGCTAGCGCCTCTGTCGCCTCAGCCGCCGCCCCTAGCCGGGGACCGGCCACGCCGCCCTCCATCCCCGCGCCCGCGCGCGTCCTGCGCCCGGCTGGATCCTCGCGCTCGCGCGTCCGTGCCGCGGCCGCAGATTCCCAACTTAACCCTCTCAGACTCGCGCCGCAGCTGGCAGCAGTCACCACGGCTCCCAGAGACGCGGCCTCCGAGTCCCCGCCCCGCCCGCCGCCTTTCCACTCCGAGGGGCAGAAATTTCGCGCGGCGTCCCGCCCGCCCAGCACCGAGGGTGGAGCTCCAGCGAATTGACTGGCGGACCCTTTAAGGCCGGCATCCTCTGGGCTTGTGTAGCTGGGGTAGTGTAGTGTTTCCAGAAGAGAAAGCCAATAAAGGCACGGAGTTATGTTCATGTGATCTTTTAAGCCTGAAGCCTCAAGGGCCGCCATGTTGGATACGGGCAAAGGTCTCTCGCTTGTTCTGTTTTTTTGGACCGATGCTGCCTGCTGAATGGTGCCAGGCGGGGTTTTAGTGGCCGGATGATAGCTGGGGAGCCAGCGCTTCTGTGGTTACTGTGTGGTGACGATTTAAAAGACATGGGCTGCTTTGAGGATTTGAGCGAGATCTAGTCTTGGCTACTGCTCCATCTGCAGCCATTACCAAGTGGTTAGATGCCGACTATAAATTATCCTGAATCAAAAAACAAACCTACTGCCTCCAGTCGATTCCGACTCATAGAGACCTTACAGAACAGAGGAGAATTGCTCCATACGTTTCCAAGGCTGTAATCGTTATGGAAGCCGATTGGCACATCGGTCTTCCGTAGAGGCGCTAGTGGGTTCGAACTGTTGACCTTTTGGTTAGCAGCCAGCAGCGAGAGCTTAACCACTACATCACCAGAGCTACTTACATATAGTCGCAAATAAGGATTGAGCTAGAGCATGGTAACAATATCTTACTTTCATATTTCAGTTTATTTGCCCTTCTATCATTGTTCAAAATTTATATAAGCAAAAGTAATTTTTTTATTTACTACTACTCTGTATTATGTATGTTCAGGGAGCTCTGATGGCATAGTAGTTAAAGCACTCGGCTGCGAATCAAAAGATTGGCGGTTTGAACCCACCACCCACTCCGCGGAAGAAAGGTACAACAACTTCCTTAAAGCTTTACAGCCTTGAAAACCCTATGGGGCAGATCTAGTTTGTCAGATAGGGTCGCTGTGAGTCTGAATAGACTCAGTGGCAGTGGATTTTTGGACTACGTCTGTTCAAGAAGCCCTGGTGGTGCAGTGTTAAAGGTTTTGGCTGGTAACTGAAAGAAAGCTTGGTGGTTTGAGCCCACCAGTATCCTGCAGGAGAAAGATGTGGCTGTCTGCTACCATAAAGATTTACAACCTGGAAACCCAATGGGGCAGGTCTACTGTGCCCTACAGGGTCGCTATGAGTCAGTCTTCAATTCCATGGCAGTAGGTTTGCTTTGATTTTTTTTTCTTTTTTAACACTGTACAGGTGTATCTTGTTTTGTTGGGCCTCACTGTATTTTCCTTCACACATCCTGCTTTTTTTTTGCAAATTCATAGTTTGTGGCAACCCTGCATCAAGTAGGTCTATTGCCTATCTTTTTCTAACAACATGTGCTCCCTTTGCATCCTGTGTCACATTTTGGTAATTCTAACAATATGTCACACTTTTCATAATGCTATTGCTGACTTAATTGACTGCAAAACCAAACTCACTGCTGTCAAGTCGATCCCGACTCAGAGCGACCCCACGTTGGGTTTCCAAGACGGTGTCTCTACAGAAGTAGATTGCCCAATCTTCCTTCTGAGAAGTGGCTGGTGGGTTTGAACTGCCAGCCTTCTGGTTAGCAGTCAAATGCCTTAGGCACTATGCCACCAGAGCGCCCTAACAGACTGCAGTATAATGCAAACTTATATACATGGGGAAACAAAACAAACAAACAAAAAATTAGTGGCTCACTTTATTGTGATATTTGCTTTATTGTGGTGGTCTGGAATCTAACCCCCAATATCTCTAAGGTATGCCTGTATGTACAATGGAGCCCTGGTAACTCAGTGATTAAGCACTGGGCTGCTAACAGATGGGTTGTCAAGCTTCTGTAAAGGTTACAGCTTGGAAAGGTACTATGTGACAATTCTGCTCTGTCACATGGGGTTGCTATGAGACAAAAATGGCATCAAGGCCCCTAATAACAACCACTATGTATAACAGGAGATAACATTCAATTAAGACACTGATCTTTGCCTTGGGGAGTTTACAAAGGGAAAACAGGACCTCAAATGTGCCTGTACCTCACCCTCTTCCCACAAAACAGAATTCCTTCACTGTGAAGGACAGTATGGTACAGTAAAAACTTGGGTCTGAAATCCAGGTTTGTCATTAATTAGTTGTGTGACCTTGGACAGATGCCCCAAATCTGTTTCCATCCCTGGAAAATGAGGTCATGTATAATAAGCTCAATAAATGTGCTCAATAAATGGTAGCTCTGTTTACATGCTAAGTTCTTTGGAGGATAAGAAATTAGAGTTATATATCCTCCTAAAGCAGGCTTACCCTCTAGTTAGGAAGTGTAACATTAAAATAAAATGTACATTCAACTGACAGCTGAAACTGTGCGGAAGCTGCCACGTGGAAGGTGTTATGGTTTGCTGTTATGACAATTTTAGGGCTTCTAGTGCCCTAAGAATCAAAAGGGAGAAGTAATGCAGAGATAAAGCATATAAAAGAATGTGATACAGGATGTGGAGAAATTGAAATACACATTTGTTGCTGGTGAGAATGTGGATTGGTCCAGCCACTACGGAAGAGTTTGGCCCTTCCTCGAAAAGTTAGATATAAAATTTCCATATGACCTAGCAGTCCCAGTCCTAGGAATTGAAAACAGACATCCACGCAAAACACATGTACGAATGTTCATAGTAGCATTATTCATTATAGCCAGAGAAGCAGAAACAACTGAAATGTCCATCAACTGATTAGTGCATAAACAATATGTATATCCATACAATGGAATACTCTTCAGCCATTAAAAGGAGGAAAGTACTGATCAATGCATATCATGCACGAACTTTGAAAATACTGTTATAAGAAAAAGAGCCAAGTACAGGAGACCACATATTGTATGATTCCATTTCTATGAAATATCCGGAATAGACAAATCCATAGAGATAGAAAGATTGATGGTAGGTAGAGGAGGGGGAAAGGAGGGAATGGAGAGGATAAAAAAGATACGAGGTTTTTGGTTTGGGGTGATGAAAATATTCTAAAATTGGATTGTGGGTTGCATACCTTTGTGAATATACTAAAATTCACTGACTTGTGTACTTCCAAAGGTGAGTTTCATTGTATGTGAACTATATTGCAATAAACTGGTATTTAAAAAAAAAAAAAAAAAGAGGAAGACGAATGTAATAAAAGCCACAAGGGATTAGATGAAGTGCTGCGGGGTGGATGACATTGCAGATTTGAAAATGGTCTGTAAACTTAGCCAGACATTCTGAAAAGGGTAACAAAGGGGATAAGGCTCCAGTTTTGGAAAAACAGCGCCTGTTGCTGGGTGGGTCCCTGTCATCATCATCCCAAGGACAGTGCACTCTTACATGGCTGGCTTACTGTAAGCTACTGAGAGCATCCAGAGTGGGCCTAATGAACAAAGTGTACTAGGGGAAGCATCAGAAAACTAAAACCTAAAATGCACGCAGAGTAAACTGTCACAGCTGGCTATCTCCTGGGTCAAGAGAAGAAGAGAAGGAGCAGGTGCAAATTCAGGCAGAGTGGAAAGGCACAGTTCCCTCTAATTGACTGTGGGATGCTGTTGGTCAACTGAGATACAGATAAAACCAAACATTCCCTTAGTGCCTTTGGACTGCTACATCTATTCCTCCCCAATCCCTCCCCAGACAGCATAATAAAGAATTTCTGAGCTGAGAGGACAGATCAATGACTTGTGTACGCAACTCCAATAATAATACTGCTTTCATTTGTGTAGCAAATGGAATAGTTAAATAGTTCTCATTAACTTCAATAGCTAATAAGAAGAGGAGAGAACAGGAGACGGGAGGAGAGGAGAAGGAAGAAGAGAAGAGGTAAAGAAGAAGAGACAGAGGTAGAGAAATTGAGAGCAGAAAATAAGAGGTGCTTGCAGTTCAAAGTTGGGAGCAGGGGTGGTGTGTCTTCCACCCCAACCCAGCTTGCCATGCAGGTTATACTCTGAGATACTGAGGAAAAGCGCTGGCCATGATGCTTGGCCTGTACCAAACCCAACCCAACCCACTGCCATCAAGTCAATTCTGACTCAGCGACCCCTATTGGGTTTCCAAGGTGGTAAATCGTTATGGAAATAGAGTGCCCTGTCTTCCTTCCATGGAGCAGCTGGTGGGTTTGAACTGCTAACCTCCTGGTTAGCAATCAAATGCCATAGGCACTGTGCCACCAGAGCTACTTGCTTGGCCTATAGAGATCTCTAAAAAGATCAGTCAAATGGCAGAAGATCTCAATAAATAGGATTACCATCATGTCTTCCACATCTGGCTGCTCCATTTCCTTGTCTTATTGTGAGTGACATATTCAGTAATAAAATGCCAGTTTTTTTTCTTTCCACTTAGAAAATAAAATGTTAAAGTAACTGACATCTTAACCCTGCCTTATAAGTTAAAGAAAGGCAGACAGATGGTTGTACCTTAGCTGTTCATTGACACTAATGAATTAATGATCAGTGGCCTCTCCCACAAAGGAAAAACATTGAACATGTTAGCTGTCAACAGCATAGGCAGAAACTGAGCAAAACATGCACCCTGAGTTCCAGACATTTCTAAGGGTGAAATCAGTTGAACTCAAGGATGAACTTTTAAGAGGCTGTTGCATCATAAAGCATGCACAAATTCCTCAAGTGTTCTGTGGGACTTGTAAACTGTCCCTCTTTTTCCAGCTGGGGCAATGGAACTTGAGATCTATCCCTACTTCCTGCTTCCACATCTGTCTAATTAGAGAGCCTTCCCTTCTTGTTGGATGGTAGGATTATATTTGATCCACATTTTCTGATACCCATA